TTATGATCTTTTGTCGAGGTAGCCATTGGATGCTAACTCACCTTTACTGACTTTGTGCCATCTTGCCTTCACAAGCAACCTGGAGGTAACTGGTCACCAGGTGCTGGCCAGGTAGTAACTCAGGAGCCTGGAATGCCCCACCTTTTCACATGAGTTCTTTCCCCTCCCATTTGGATAGAGATGAAACCATTTTGGATCGCTTCATAGAAACACAAGGGTTCTGTTTTTTTGTTTGTTTCATTTTGTTCTTAAGACAAATGTAAACTTAATTTTTATAGACCCTCAATAACCACCAGTTGGATTTCCAGCAGCTTTTGGAAGCTGTCAAGTTCAAGGCAGTCTGTAACTCATCTCATTTTAGCCTCCCTTTTGTAGTTGAACCACAGAAGTCAGAGCTCACATGGCCCTTCTGCGTACGGTATAGCCTTTGTCAATAGTAACTTTAATTTGTGCCACTAACGGCGAGGACACAAAGCTCGCTGAGCTTTGCTTCACCTGTGTTCAGTACAGCCAGCATTACCAAACCCAATGAGTTCAGCAACATTATTCTACCAACATCTAGGTCAGCTCTGCTGATTAAAAACATCATACACTTGCCACCTCTTAAAATGTAACTATTTTATCACCTATTCTGTCTCCTGTGCATCTTAAATGGAAGACTATATATCAATTACCAATCCAATAGGTATAGGTCAACATTAAGAGGTTATCATCAACAACAGACATTTATTGACTGCCTATTGTGTGCAAGGCACTGTACTAGGCATGAGGCTACAAAGATAAAGGAGCAACAGTTCCTGCCCTCAAGGAGCTTACAACCTAATTAGACTGACAGGACACATACATAAGAAGACAGAACAACCCAAGGTAGTATGTAACATTAGAGCTCTAAGTAGAAACAAACAGGAGTGCAGCGCTTTTTTTTTTTTTGCATTTCCATGTTGGTTCAATACCCTGAGTTGGTGGGGACGAGTGAGATAGAATAGAGGGCTTACTCCTGTTCATGTTTGAATCTTATGGACACTCTACCACCGCTCTCCATTCCAAATTATCTTCTGGCATATACTAGAACCTAGGCAATTGGTTCACTTTTCCTTCCAAGGCCTTAGCATCACAGTTCTTTTTTTTTTGAGTGCTTTTGATAGGGTGACTCACTATCCTGGTTTGCCCAGGACTTTCCTGGTTTCAGTACCAGGAGTCTGTGTCTTGGTCCTCCTTCCCCCTCCTACTCCCCTGGATCTGGGAAACCAGGATGGTATTTCAAAAACCCTTGTCTTGTAGCCAGATATACTTCTCTCACCTAATATGGTCATGGCAGCACCCACCCCAAACCTGTTCCTAAGATAGGTCTCTAGTTTAAAAATCTACTGGGGAGACCTTAACAGGCCCCAAAGACTGCTGGTTTAAGAGCACACTGTGGACAACAAAAAGCCTACCATGAGAGAATGATAACAACAAGAAAAAATGAGGTTCAAGAGAGAAGCAGTGAGGATGGAAGAAGTAACTAGGTCAGATATGAAATATGCAGGCATGTTATCACCTGACAATTCAGTGACAGAGAATGGGAACAGAGACCCTTCTCTCAGAGTAGGTCTATTGGGCAATCTCAATCATCACCCTCTTGGAAGCCAGGGTATATTTCTGAAATGAGGCCATGCCTACATGAGGGTAAATATTTGGCCTATTGTAAATAGGTACTTAAGTGTTTAAATAACACTATCTTACTCCTAACAGAATTTCAGCTTTTCCTTCCACTTTTACCTAGCATTCATTTAGCTTCGAAATCAAGATTTTTAATCTTTGAGGGGGGTTTTGATTTTAAAAATGAGGTTGTAGCCGGCCACTGTGACTCAGTGGTTGAGCATCAACCTATGAACCAGAAGGTCATGGTTCGATTCCCGGTCAGGGCACATACCCAGGTTGTGGGCTTGGTCTCCAGTGGGGGGATGTAGGGTGCAGGAGGCAGCCGATTAATGATTCTCTCTCATTATTGATGTTTCTATTTCTCTCTCCCTCTCCCTTCCTCTCTGAAATCAAGAAAAATAATTTTTAAAAAATGAGTTTATATCCTTCCATTTAAATGTAATTCAAAAAATACTCTCAACAATGAAGGTTAAGATAAATAACTAAATAAATGTAATTCAAATAGATCAGTAATGGAGAGAATTTCAGAAAACAAAGGTAATCTGTCTTGAGAAGTGTTGTTTGGGATCTGATACACATATCTAGCAGTCACTAAGGACTCCACGAAACCACACACAATTTTCTCTTTTAGGTACAATACTTCGTGTTTTGCTTTCACTTAATTTTTGAAGAAAAGCTCTAACTCTGAAATCTTAGGAAGTTGCTAAACCGCCCCGGTTTTACATCTAGCCCTTAGGAACACATACCAGGGTTACTGAAGCGCAGGGACTCAGTTACCAAACACCCATCAACCTCAATGGAAACCACACAGCGAAGTCCCCACAGAGCACACTGAATATTCACCTCCTAATGTTCTTTTAATGTACGCTTTCTTGGGTGAATATTTACTATAGAATATTAAATGCAAGTTCCTCTTTTCATGGGCCATTTGAAGTGATTGATTTTGTTTGTGAATTCCTGTATCTTTGCTCATAATGGCTATCTATTGTAATGGCCTCTGCCAAATGTTGTTGCGTTGAAATAAGAGACGCTATGGATCGTCCAGCTGTGGCTTTGTGCTACTGGGGTCTTAGGCTAGGGGGAAGCTGATGACACAGCTGGGGAGAGAAGAAAAAGGTATGTAACATAACGAGGATGACTTAGGCTTCGAACACAATCAGATACTGAAATCACTGAGGTCTGTAAACATGGTTTTATAGTCACCTTTTATATCAGAGTTGATGCTTAATGGTGTTGAATGGTGTTAAGACTGATAGTTATGAAATAGTGGCAATATAAGAATTCAATTGCCCACAACCAGGTCCATCAGCACAATCTATCAGAATTCTAGGCATTTTCTTTAAATGCTGTAATAAAACCACTGCCTAAGTGATAATTTCTTACATTTATTTATAGCATGTTTTAAAAAATATAAACTCACACACTCACATGTCCTAGCTACACATATATTTAAAATATTTCCCAGTGAAGACAGAAATTTCAGAATTTTTTTTTCACTCTTTTGGGTATTTGAGAGGGAGGAGTTACAAAAAAAGATGAAGCTATCATGAGGTCTTTAAAAAACAAACAAACCCTAAAACTTGAAGATAACACAGACATTTGAGATATTATTGGATTAGTAATATATATTTCGTTGCATTTCCCAAGTATGCCTTCTTAACTGTCCATAAAAGTAGTTAAAGGAGCTACTTATATCTGAACAATATAATCCCTTCAAGTGATGGTAAGGGTGGCCTGTAAGTCAATTATCTAAAGTTTATACACTTTTCAAAGGTTCATAAAGTATTGTGTATTCAGAGTCCATGCTGCAGAAGAGATTGTACTGGAAAAAATTCTCTTTACAAACTATGAGAAAATTTATAGGACGCATTCCAGTATGTTTTGAACAGACATTTCAATTGTACTGGCTTTTAATAGCTCAAGCCACACCACGATAACACCAACTTCATTTTGCTATATGTATAAATATCTAGGCCGTGTTTGCATCTCAACAACCAGACTCCAGGTAATTAATAGTACCAGTTATTGCAGGGACATGGGATCTTAGTACTGGTTAAGGACAGGGAAAAGAACTGGTAATGTGAGACAACTTCTTGAATCACAAGCCAGGTCATGTTCTGTAAAAACAACATCAGTCTTCATACCTGGTAGTTGCTGGTGCCTTCAAATTTGGCATTAGAGAAACTAATGCCTCTTAATCCATGGGTAAAAAAACACACACACTGCTATATCTTTTAAAAGACTACTTTTGAACGCTATTACTTGCTTAAATGAAAATCTCTCCTACCGACTGACCTTGGCTCTGAACAAAATAAATCCTTCACACTCCTCCACACCAGGGATGAATGGTGGTGAATATAATGTAAGATCTGCAGGGAGTGAATCTAAATAGTTCATAGGATAAATGCGTGATATGATGGGGAAATTCTCCTGACAGACTCACAGAAGTGCAGTCCCTTGCTCTTGTAGTCAGGCAACACCATGGAAGTTCTCTCTCTTTCTTCTCTCTCTCTCTCAAAGCAGGGAGTAGAATTTAGTTACTGGGGACCAGGGATAACCTATGTTTTTAATCACAAGAGGGAGATAGGTAGTAGGGCAATATGAAAGGCCCCTGGTACTGTGGGAGCCCCATCATTCCAAGTTCAAGGTCCTGAAATGACTCAAAGTCCCATAGAATTTCAGGTTTGGAATGAAATGTTAAGAGGTCATCTAGTACAGGGACATCATTCTGCAGAAGAGGAAACCAGGGCTTAAGTGAACTCCACCAATTATTACTAAAGGAAACTATCTTTCAGTTTCTCTTCTTCGTCTCTTTCTGTGTTAATGACACAGTTTTTGGTTTTCAGTTTTGTCATTTGGAGCATTTCTGCACCTTGGAAAATGTTATAGCTATTCTGGAAGCCTAAGGGTTCAGAAAATGCAAGACAACATTGCCGAGCGAAAATTCCAACTGCACGCTGACAATGAGCCTTGTGAGCACAGCAACTCATCAACCCGATTCCAGGCCTTTCCAACCATCGTTGGGGATTCAAGAGTTAGAATAAAATACCTAAATAAAGATAGGGCTAAATTACCACATAATAATCTATAAAAATACTGGCCTAGAGTACACTACAAAACTCTTCGTAAATAAATACTGGGCATTTACTTTATGAAAGTCCGTGGAGCTGTGCTCATCAGAAACACTTTCAGGCAGCTTTATACAAACCACACACACAGGGGCCAACAGATGACAAAGGTTATAGGTCAGGTCAGGATACACCTTGATAGAAAAGTGTCTTTTGACATGGCATTTCTATAAAGGAATACACCTAATAAATGCTGCTGAGCTGCTCATGTTTCAGTTTTGAAGGCAATACTTAAAGAGACCCAAAATGTAACCATGGCAGCATCATTGAAATAAGAGGTCTGCTTCTTTGAAAGGGAGAACACGCATCAGAGTGCATTAATTCTGGCATTTTCCTGTAAGCCAGCGGTGCTATTTTGTAGTCACTTCTCGTAGGCATCTGCACATGGTACTTCTTGAGGAGTGAAGCCATTTCCTGCCAGTTCTGTTCCTCTTTCATGTCTGGGGCTCAGGAAGTCCAGTGGCCTGGTGTCTGGTACAGTGGGTGCTTGGGGTTTAGGTCTGACACGCTTATTCCTCAGAACACAGGTTTATTCTCAGGATGATTTATAGCAAGTGATTCTGGTTTCCAGTCTGGTTGAAAAAAGTGAATATTGAATGTCCGTGCCCAGTTCTTAAAGACTCGTTTCTCCGTGATGAAGCGGTGATGACTGCCCTTCCGCCCTCGCTCATGGGACAGGTACATTGTACATTCATCTGGTCCGAAAGGTTCATAATAGTGATAAGGGACTGAAGGGTGGTTGGGATCCCTGTAGAAGGAAGATGAAATAAGTCATTAAAGCAAAAAAAAAAAAAAGTTCCTTTGACTGACTGAGGTAAGAGTTATCTTTAATAAGCTGATAAGCACAAATCATATTTTCAAGTTAAATGAATTTCAACAAATGTTTTCATTCCGATGTTTAAGCCATAAGCATGCAGAGAGGTTTTATGTTGTGAAATAAAAACAGTGGCCATCATTATCAGACAGAGAGATTCAAACAGTACAGTAGGACGTTCGGGCTTTTGGGATTCAAAAACTATATATTATTAAGACCCAACTAGACTCCTTACTTCTACTCTTGCACCCATACAGTCTATTACTACAAGCATCCCTAGAGATATTTGTAAAATAAAAACAGATCATTTCCCTTCCCTATTCCAACTCCCAAATGGTTCAGAGACATCCAATTATACTAAGAGGATGGCCTTATAGGGTGTTAGTGATCTGACTCCTTTCAGACACAGCCTTCTCCTAACCCACTTGACTTTGTCCCCTATGCTGCAGCCATACTGGCCTCTGGTCGTCAACCCTCCAAGCTTGTCCCGACCTTGCAGCCTTTGCCTTTGAGGGCCATCACCTGGCTGGAACATGCTCTCACCAGCTCACTCCTCTCACCTTTGAGGATGGACTCAAATGTACTCTCCTCAGAGAGGCTTTACCTGGTGCCCGCCCCTCCACGCCCTCTCACTCGGATTTATTTTCTTTACAGCATCTGTCTGAAGCTGCTGTTGTTTCCTTGCTCATTGTCTGTTCATGAGGTCAGGTCTTTGTCTTGTTCCTAGTAGGGGCTCAATAAATAATTTTTGAATTTCTGTTGAAAGAAATTTATATGGAGCTAGAGCTACACAGCAAGCCTCTAAAGACAATCTCCTCTCCAGGTATGGAAGGCTGATGATCTTAATTTGATTGCTTGAAAGAGAAAGAAGACAGAAGTCACAATGCCTTCATTTTCCTCCTGTTGTCCAGACAGATGACGATGCACTCAACTCTAGAGTCTCTAAACCCAGAAACTCCAAATCCTCAGTCCCTGCTGTGCAGCCTGACAGTCCCAACGTTTTCACGTCTATATCCGTCTCCACTTCAAACGAGAAACACTGGCTCATGTCTTCAAGGTTGTGTGTGCCCTTGTTGTAGGGTTACTAAAATATCTAAAACCAAAGAGCCCTGGTTTCAGACTGGCTTTCATTCTAGGCCAGTCTACTCTACCTCTTCTGTCTTGAAGTCTAGACGGTAAGGTTAGTTATGATATCCCAATAGGTAAGTCTTCCTACCTTGAGCTAACCAGTATTGGGGCAGAGATTATGCTCTTTTTTGTCTCTTCTTAGTTCTCTTCTTAAAAGGGCCAGGCAGCTCCAGCCAGTTTGGCTCAGTGGATAGCGCATTGGCCTCTGGACTGAAGGGTGCCTTGGTTGAAAGCTCGATCCCTGGCCCTGGTTGGGGTAAGTGCGGAAGAAGACCAATCGATGTGTCTCCCTCACATCGATGTTTCTCTCTCTTTATCTATCTCTCCTCCTCCCTTCCACTCTCTCTAAAATCAATGGAAAAATAACCTCAGGTGATGATTTACAAAAACAAACAAACAAAAAAGGGCCAGGCATTCCAGCAAACCACCTTTCAGCACCTAGTGTCCTGGGTCCCCTCCGGTCCCCAAGATGCTCATCCTGTTAGACACCTATTCATTTTCTTCAAAGGAGATCAATACACAAATGGCTTTTAGAGTAGCAACTCTACTGGAGTCAGGGATCGAAGTATTCTATCAAGAGGGGTGTTGGGTGTGTGGCTCTGACAACAATAAACCTTTGAGCTGCCTCTCCTCGGAGGTTAAAGTTCTTCCAGGAAGAGAGATTTATTTTGGTCATGCAACATTCAAACATTCCTCATCCTGGGTTGGATGCTGTGCTGAATGAGTACTTTGCATCTCTATTATGCCCGTCTCAGAAGTATCTATATGTTGTGTAGTGAAACATCAGCAACTGTTCTGTCTAGTTATGACAGATGTCACTTATTTACTTACCCTAGAAATTGGAGTCTCCTTAAATAGAATATGTGTTCAATATAGAAAATGCATGCTAGGAAAAGAGTAAGTTGGAACTACCACTATGAAAAAAAGAAACGAAATAGAATCTTGTGAGACAAATGTCCCTAAATTCCCATGGCATAATTTTGGGAACCATGCCAAGTTCATGCTGCCGTGGTCTACCGGGGGTTAAGCTTCTAATCCAGTACAGATCAGGCTTTAAGTCTGATTCCTCTAAGTTTTGGACATATTCTTGGCATCAATCTGACTGAAGAAACAATTAGGTTTCTAAAAATAACCAGGAGATTGATTTGGCACCTGGAATAGAGGGAAATTGGAAACCAGTTGAAGGATGCTGGAGGATCAATTTCCTCATTCAGGATGACCATCGCTTTGAATGAAACCCTATCTGGCTCTATATTGATTACCTAAAGGGAGAATTAAATTTACATATTTGGTAAATTTAATTCTTGATTTCAAAGGTGTCCAAAGCAGTGGGGGTTGTTTGCATCCACTACGACTCTGTCCAAATGGCAGACACGCGCTTTGTGGGACTGAGGAGGCAGAGCCACAGCCCAGCTGTAATCCACCTTTCCATTCAGAAAGCCCTTCGCAGTTCAAGGTCAAACCTGACTTTCTAAAGGCTGCCGTGGCTTTTTCCTCCTTCACCTGATCCCGGTGGAAACAACAATAAATATCAGCAGAAATGCCACACCAGGAGGCCACAGTTGTAAAGGGAAGGTCTGTCCCTAAGTCCCTGTTTGGGGCCAGGGGACCTGAAGGAGTGAAGGTGGGTGTGAGGCAGGGGCGGTAGCTAATCACAGAGCCGGTTACCTAAGCGGCTGCAGCCTGTCATCAGTACTCCAGGGCCAGAGCGGAGCTAGTCCTGCAGAATAATGTGAGGAGGAAATTTTTTTTCTTTATGAAGGAAGCAGGTGGGGAGAGTGAGAGAACTCACATTTAGTGCACACGGGGAGCTTTAAAGGAATACCGTTGTCTGTGTTCCACCTCCATAGATTCAGATTTAATTGACTTGGAGAGGGTCCCAGGCATGGGTGTTTAAAAAAGTGCCTTAGGTTTCAGTATCAAAATAAATAATGACAGTACGGATTATAAAACCCATAAAATAAAATAAATATCCACGAGTCCATGATGATCTTAATAAACAACTGAGTAATTAAATAAATGAGGGAGATGAAATGGCATTTCCTTAGAGAAGAATTCCAATGAACAAATCTAGAAAGAATGGGGGAATAGAAATCACCATTAAAAGAGCATAGTCATTGTTTCAGGCAAGATGCACCAATGAATAGAACATTAGTGGGGATATAGATAGGAGAATTGGGTTATTTGCATATAGTATCTTTCCCCAAGCTACTTATTAATGACAAAGGGGAAAATAGCAACTTTTCAATGAGTAAACTCAGCAGACACCACCTCAACCAAATGATAAGGGTTAACATGGCCAGCAATAAGACATTTTGACACCATGGACCTCTTGATATGAGATGCTAAGGGCTTATCTCTTCTGTGATATCCTTCCCAGTAATGTGTAACCTCAATATAATCACAGAAATACAAAGCGAGGGACATCCTATAGTAATGACCAGAATTCTTCAAAAACATCAAGGTCATGAAAGATAAGGAAAGACTGAGGTCACAGGTGGGAGGAGACTAAGGACACATGACAAGGAAAAGCAAAGGCATCCTGGGTTGGGTCTTCCAAGGACTAAAGGGCATCAGTAAGAAAACTGCAGAAGTCTGAGTAAAGTCTAGCTTTGTTAGGAGTATTACACTGGTGTTAATTTCGTAGTTTTGATATTTGGACCTTAATTATGCAAAATATTAACGTTAGGGGAAGCTGGGTGAAGGGTATACCAGAACTCTCTATATTATTTTTGCAAGTTTTTCTATAAGTCTAAAACTTGATGACCAAAACATAAAATTAAAAAGATATAATAATGTTACAAAGCTCCTTAGGGGATTCTTCTATGCAGCCAGGTTTGAGATGGCTGATTTAATTAAATACCTGCTAAGGACTTGGTGCTTAAGTTTCATTACCGCATGTACTCCTCCATCCATCTAAGGTAAGTATACCTGCTACATTTGATAGGCGAGTGTCTGGCACCCGGGTAGAGTCCAGTGCCTGGCTTCATTCACGGGCCACCCAAGGTGCCAGACTTGACCCTTTCAACCCCAAAACCAGTGCTCAGCACTCTACATAGACCAATTTATCTACTCCTCACTGCACCCTAGTGAGAAAGGTACTGTCATTATTGCTATTTTACAGATGAGAAAACTCATGCAGAGAGAAATTGGAGAACTTTCAGGGCCCAATTTTGGACCAAAGTTGTCCTCTTAAGAGTGAGGCTTTGTGTCTTGGAAAAACTCCTGTCTCACCACATGGGTTTCTGTACTAATGGCACCCCAGGTTCCCACTGGGGTTGGCAACACATGGTTGGGAACAACTTTGTCCTTGTGCATTTTCCCAAGCACCTATCCACAGAGGTGCCCCGAGCTTGTGCAGCTGGTCAGGGTGCGAAGCAGAGGTCTCATGTTCATGAACAATCCTGCCCACTAATGTTAATGGCAGCGGGAGTTTGTCATGTCCCATTTTTCAACCTTCTAAAGCTAAGCTGTACAACTGGAAAGAAACCTATAACATTAACAAGCAAGGGAGGATAATTGCATTTCCGGATATGATCTAGGTTAGCCCTGCTCTCTGGGTTTGCGGCTGGATTATCTATAAGGAAAGAATGATGCCTTTGCTTCTCTCTAGACGCTCTCTCTAAACACTCTTCTATTCTTGGCGTGGTACTTGGCATACTAGGTAGTCAGGAAATGTTTGAGGAAGGGAGTGAAATCAATAACTGTCAAGTGTCTGCGTTGTTCTGAAATTGGCTTGCAGGGGGGCCTTTGGGAACACTCTGTAGCATTCAGAAGAAAATGTTCCTGAAACAGGCCTTCCCAAA